TTACTGAGCATACAGTCAACACTACAGGCGAAACCTGCCCTCTGTCTCTTTTCAACAGACAATTCTATATTAGCTCTGCAGTGTGATACTTCACAAGTGATGCCTCAACATGAAAAAAAACACGGCCTGAAAAAAAGAATAGATTTTGAAATTTGGCTTACCTGAGACGGAAATGGTCATGGGTGCTTCCAGGGTCCTGTCATTGTCCAGGTCCCTACTCAACCTCAGATCCCCAGTGTGCTCGTTCAACAGCAGCAGATTGAGCTCATTTCCAGATTCAAACTTGTACCGTAGCTTATCCGACACATCCGGGTCATGAGCTGGCACCTTTCCTATTATTCCTGATGGAAAACTGTTGGACTTGTTGGTGATGTAGTTGTTGAAAATAATCTCAAAGTTCTGCAGCACCGGCTCATTGTCATTCATGTCTACAAGGCGGATGTGCACGGTGGCCCGACTCACAAGTGGAGCGGAGGTGGCCTGTACCACGATGACATACTCCGTTTTAGTCTCATAATCCAGGTCTGTGAGTGCAGTGAGGTCACCGTTAAAAATGTCTAGCTGGAAAACTTCTGGAATATTCCCTTCAACAATCTGGTACATGATCTGAGCGTTGGTGCCCTCGTCAGGGTCGGTGGCAGTGATCCGGGCCACGACGGACCCCACTGGACTGTTCTCCTCCACATCAATGAATAGCTCGTCCTTCTCAAACACCGGGGCATTGTCATTTATGTCTTGGACGACCACATGAATGGGAACAGCTGCTTTCAGGGGCGGAACCCCGCTATCCACAGCAAAGGCCTTCAGGTTGTAAACAGGAACATTCTCCCGGTCCAGTTTGCGATATGTTCTGATGATACCAGACGAACGCTCTATGATGAAATCCCCCTCTCCGTCATCGCCACCCTGAAACGTATAGGTCACCCTGCCATTCAAGCCAGAATCTCTATCTGAAGCAGAGATCTGGAGAACGCTGGTGTGGACAGGTGCATCTTCAAATACAGTTCCCTGGTACCGATCCCTAAGAAACTGAGGAGCATTATCATTAGCATCAACAATGATTATCTCCACATAGGTGGTATCAGATTTCTGAGGGATGCCATTGTCTCTGGCAATGATGGCTAACGTGTATGAGGCCTGATCTTCGTAATCAATCTCCATTTGTGTTGTGATGGCACCTGTGTCTGGGTCAATTTTAAACTGAGGAACATTGTCCTCCATCACATACGTGATGCGAGCATTTTCCCCCGTGTCCTCGTCCGTCGCACTGATCACCACCACAGTGGAGCCCACCGGTTTTTCTTCACTGAGCATCACCTGGTAGTTGGCACTTTGGAAGACAGGCCGGTGTGTATTGGCGTCCGTCACATTGATGAACACCTGAGCAGTGTCGTAGCGTGTTCCATCACTGGCTGTGACTGTCAGGACGTATTGGCGTTCCTGCTTGTAGTCCAAGGGGAGGGCTAAGGTGATGAGACCGCCGCCGCTCTGGCTAGTGATGGCAAAGCGGTTCCTGGTGTTGCCACTGGAGATCTGATAGGTCACCACACTGTTGACGTCCCTATCCACGGCCGTCACTATCAGTACGCTGGTCCCCACGACAGCATCTTCATTGATCTTCAGTGAGTAGGTCTTCTCTGTAAATGTGGGTACGTTGTCATTCACATCAAGCACCGTGATGCTGACGCTGGCTGAGGAGGACATCGCAGGAATCCCATGATCTCTTGCCTCCACGCCGAAGCTGTAGAACTCATTGGCCTCCCTGTCAAGCTCCTCACTCACTGTAATCCAGCCTGTACTATTGTTAATGCTGAACGGAAAACCAGGCGTGGTGTCAGTTAACCGGTATTCCAAACGGGCGTTTTCTCCTGAATCACCATCAATAGCTTGAATGTGGATAACAGAGTAACCAATGGCCACATTTTCCAACACGGTTGCCTGGAAAGGTGTGCTGACAAACATGGGGGCATTGTCGTTCACATCCACCACTTGCACCACCACCATCCCTGTGCCATTAATCAGAGGAGGTCTGCCACCATCCTGAGCTTTAATCCTCAAATTATACTCCCGAATCATTTCATAGTCCAGAGGATTGATGACATCAATCACACCGGTGGGGGAGTGAATGTAGAACTGTCCTTTAACATTGCCACTGATGATGCTGTAATGAACTTTGGCGTTGTTCCCCTCGTCTTTGTCTGTAGCTTCCACCTGGATGACTTTGGTGTTGACTGCCACATTCTCTGGGACCTGTACAACATATCTCTTTTCACTGAACTGTGGGTAGTTGTCATTCTCATCCTCCACAGAGATGTGGACAGTGGTGGTGGCACTGCGGGGACCAGGGTCTTTGCCCTGGTCATTGGCCTCAACAATCAGCTGGTACTGGGCCCGGGTCTCCCTGTCAGGCCGCTCTCTGATCCTCACCAGGCCGTTCCGGGGGTCGATTTCAAACACAGAGTTAACTCCATTGCCGTTTACAATTTTATAAATCATGTTGGCGTTGGAGGGCGCGTCCCCATCAGTGGCCCGGACTGTCATCACTTCAAACCCCACTTCTACATTCTCCCGGATGCTAACACGGTATTCAGTTTGCTCAAACATCGGGCTATGGTCATTAGTGTCACTCACAGTGACAGTGAGGTAAGAAGTGGCAGATCTTTTTGGGGAGCCATTGTCAGTTACAGTGACTTTAAAAACATGGGTGTCTTTGACTTCTCTGTCTAGTGACTGGACGGTTGTTATGCTCCCTGTCTGAGAGTCAATGGTAAAAAAGTCATTGGATCTGCTGTCAAACAAGGCTTCCATGCTGTACTCCAGCCTCCCCGCCTCCCCATCATCCGGGTCAGTGGCTTTCAGGGTGATAACCCGCGTGCCGGCAGGCTCATTCTCGGGCACGGACACCTGATAGTTGGGGAGCTGGAACTGGGGAGACGCGTTTACCTGGCGCTTCCTCCTGTGGATCAATTTGCCAGACTTTCTCTGGACGGTTTCTGAGAAGGATCCGTGTTGTTCATGCACTTTTACAAGCGTCAAACTCAGCTGCACAGAGAGCCTGCCGCCCGGAGAGCTGTGCAACGCGCAGTGCAAATTCACCTCTGGCTGTCCCCCGTGCTCAAGACACAAGTCACTGGTCAGGAACAAATCCCCCTGCCTGAACAGTGCGCTCAACTCTTTTCCAACACACACAGTGTCAAAAAAGGCAGTGTTCCGCGTAAAGGTGGGCAAAAGTTCTGTTACATTCAAAAGCAATTTACCTGCGGGTAAGCAGGAAGTTGCCTCCAGTTCTGAAAGGTGTTTAATGTGAATGTCTGGCTTACCTGAAGCTTTCTTTCTCTTGTATTTAATAAAACAGTCTTGGCCGTGGACAAACACATTAAACCGTGTCAGAATAACGTCTCCAGATGTTGAGGAACCTGTTCTGAAATAAACAGGCGCTGGGTTCCTCATTGTGTGCGCACACTGAACTTTGTGGGACAGACGGATAACCCCGTCGTGCCGCTCAACTTGGAGAAAGCTCTGGATGAATTTAGAGGATAAAGTCCTGTCAGTTTTATAAGTCCATCCGGGGCCGAGCGACAGGTTTGTCAAAAGTGTCCCGGGCTGTAAAGTCTCGGAAAGGTGCATCTCCAAACATCCCGCAAACGGCACGCTGAACATGACACAAAACAACATCCAATACATCGATAGCTCCATGCTTTAAAACCTGTCAAATCCCATTCAACTTCACCGAAACTCCTCCGCAAACGCATTAACTCTCCCTCTCCCAGCACCGCGTTTTACTTCTATCCCTCATTGTGAAGTTTTAACGTGGAAAAAGACGCTTGGTATCCATAGTCTCTGTGTATCCACGGTGCGCAGCGGCTGCGTTAACCCACACGGAGTTTAAAATGAGTACAAAATGGCTCCGTGGCTCTCCTCCGCCTCCTCCTCCTCTCCTCCTCAGAGGCTTATTACCATAAACCTGCTGTGTCCCCCTCTGGGACGCTTTCACAGGGGGGGCCTTTTTTTTCTCATGGAGATTTAGGAAGTAGCCCTGACCGGGTGACCAATGCGCACAAGTGCATTGTTATTAAAATTAGGTAAGTTGGGTAAAATTCCTAATGTCTGTTTGAGTGTTGCTCTTTCTCTTCAGCAGCTGTTTGTTAAAGTAGCTAGTTGTAAGCAGTGATGAAAAACATAAAAGTAGTTGAACTAAGACCCCAAGTCCACAATGTCTTTTTTTTTTTTTTTTTATAAACATGACGTTTATTTCAGTCGCCAGGTCACACGTACTTCAATAAGCTGCTCATGAAGTTAAACTAGTTACATCATTATTCAAATAACTTTTCCCAGAAAACCATGTGAATTGCACAACTGTCTAAAACAAACTATCAGATAATTATTACTTTTGTTAATCAGTGTGTGATTGTGTTCACGGTGAGATTGTTTAATGGTCATTGCATTGTAATATTTTTAGCATAGAACATTATCTCAAAAGATAAGCATGGCATCTTGTAGATAAGCTTAAAAATTAAATAAATACAAACATTAGATAACACTTTATTATGCATCTAAAATCTTTTTTTGTCATTTTGTTTTTGGAACTTTCTTTTTTCTTTTTTTCTGTTATTGCATAGTGGTAGCCTATATCAACAAACACTGCTTTTACTTCTTGCTGTTATTAGTGTTGTTTGAGGCGTCCTGTTCTCTGTAGTCTTATCACAGGTGACTCACAGGGAAACATTTCAAAATTACCAAAAAGATGATGAAGAATTTTTATAATAAGCGTATGCCCTGACTGTCCTTAGGACTCTTAAACCACATAACTAGAAATCCTAGTGTAAAACAATGCTGACTGAGAATAACAGGTTCACCCTGGATGTTAATCTAATATAATAGCGCCCCCCGGTGGATCAATAAATGTAGAACAACCAATACACAATTACATACTGTTTTTCCTCAAGCATGAAATGACTGGACAGAATATTTAGGTATACAGGGAAATGAAAAATAAGTCACACATCACTTATTAGGTTTATTCACTTATTCGTAAATGTTCAAGTATTTACAGTCTGTAGTTTAGGAGGAACACAACCTACAACAATGCCATCTGAAGAGAAAAGGCACTTCTAATTTAGGTTTGGCATTTATAAACAACTAATTATTAAAATATGTATATTAAAAAAATCAATATGCATTACGCTATAAAACAAAAATTGACACATTTGGTTAGAAACGGTCAAAAAATGTGACAGATAAAAATATCCCCACAAAAATAGCTTAAATAACAAATAAATATCTGGTTTTTGTATCATATTGTGTTTCATTTGTTCATAACTTGGCATGTTTTTAGACAATAATTTCTTCTTAGAGGAGAACATCACAAAAAACTGCACTCTTGTTTGTGTTCTGTTCAGTGACCACATTGTACTTTAGTAGAACTACAGTAGCAACAAAGTATTAATTTAATTTATCAAAGAACAAACAAAAAGAAAAACCATCTTGTTTGCAGTTGGCACAGAGGCAGGAGTGAACATGAACACAAGTGAAAACAAGGTAAAGGACAGGAAGGAAATTCATGAGCAGCCTTAGAGATGATAGGAAAAGTTTGAATTGCATCATACTAAATAAACAAGAGAAGTCATTTCATTCACAGATAAGTCCACAACATGTGACCCTGTGAGCTTAAACTCAAATCCCACCAGAACCTCCAATGCCTTCATTTCCCTGGGACACTCACAGGGTTCCTATTATAAAAATAAATAAAACAACACTAAAAGGGTCAGACTACCAGTGTCCTTTGAAAAAAGAAGCCTTTCTTTCAGGCAACAGGTCACAAAATTGAGTACTGTATGGAAACAGAAACTCTCTATCTACAGAAACATTTAGAGCTGAATACATTTTTAAAAGGTGGGTTTAATTTTGTTTTCTGAACTCCAACTCCCAAGGGTAACCACAATTATGGCAATTATCCTCTAGCACCTCTTATATGGAAGTTTACTTAAATACATATACCAGGTCTAGTACAGTCTTTTGTTTTGCCTTAAATAAATTTATGTCAAACTAGCAACGCAACGCAAACAATAACAGCAGATCTAATGACATCATGAACATTAAATGGCAACCCATGTATGTTACAAGCAGAAACAGACATACTGTACTGACTATAATTTAATAATTTAATAATTCTATTATTTACGTCCAGGTAGCTCTAGTCAGTAATGTTAGCTGTAAAAGTGAATAGTCGGCAAAAGCTTTTTCTTATAAAAATGATGTAATTGTTACTGAGTGAACCATCTTATTATCATCTAGTCTCCGCTCCAGAACACACTTTGGCTTGGATGCAGATGGTTAATCTGAGCAGCTAGCAGATAACCTTGTCGTATTTAAACACAAGAAATACTAAAAGCAGTACAGAAATCCATCAGAAATTTTTTCTTGTGTTATCAATACTGTTGATGCATCCAAGTCACAAAGCCCTCTCTAGAAGAGACAGTTTATATTCAAGAACAGGGTGCTCTACCTAATGTACCACCATGCCCGGGCTGTGAGGTCGTCTCAGCTGGCTGGTTTAGGGGTCTGCTGCTCCTTCTGCTGGGCGGCTGTTACCAACCGTTCTCTGCCCTGCTGCAATGTGTATTCACTGGGCCCCAGTTGGATGATCTTCCCACTACCCAGACACTCGTCTCCTTTGTAGAGCACAGCAAACTGGGGGGAGGAAGGGACGAAAGCAAGGAGAAAAAATTAGGAAAAACAGGCACATCCACTTCAGTAACAAAGAGGAACTCTGTGTGGGACTATACGTCTTTTGGCATTGTAACTGGTATTACAGCATTTGCCTATGCAATTATACTGTAGTCTGTAACACAGGACTGTTACCTGTCCAGGTGTCAGAGCTCTGACTGGCTGGGAAAGTGAGATCCACACAGAGCCGTCCATGTTCAGTGTCACTGTACAGGGAGCTGGAAAGCACAAAACAATAATCAGTAATCACTTCTTCTCATTCATTAATGTACAGACACTGATAATCCGACACTCACTGAGCGGCATCTGATGGATGAAGCGGAAATGACATTCCATCATCTGGGTCCTGGCGAGCTCAGGGGGCGGGTCCATTGTTACCCAGTGGAAACGGTCGGTCCGCATCATGTCACGGAAAAGAGCTGGGTGATTGGTAGTTGGAGCCTAAGTCACGAGAAATTTAAGGAATAAAGGAACAAATTGGTCAAGTTTCAATCTTGACTCCACCTTAAAAAGTGAGAAACAAGAGGAGACAGAAGACAAGAAAGATGATTCCACTTTCACAACAGAGACCGACTTTCTCACCACAAACACATCTCCAGTAGCGATGTCTTTGTCCACTACAAACCAGGCGTCTCTCTGCCCGCCTATCCTCGCCCTCTGGCCCAGCGTCAGTGTGAACCAGCCTGGATAAACAGAGACAAACAAGAAAAGAGACAGAATGTACACTCAGCTGTTTTATGTGTTGTGAGTTTGGAACACAAATTAAGAGTGGATAGTAAAGCACTGCAGTCTGTCTGTATGATAATGTAATAGTGACACACCAGAGAAGCAACCACAACCACAAACATACCTCTGTGTGTTCCCATGACAGTCCCGTCCTCAATGGAGACAAAGTTCCCTGGTTTGGGTTCCAGATACTGGAAGCAGAAAAAAAAAAAAACAGTAGAGGTTTAGATTGAAAAAGGGAAAAGGAAAAATAAAGCCAAAGTGGCCAAATTGTTATGTGGAACAAATACCTGAAGCTTTAATTCTTACCTCCAAAATAAAGTGTTCAAAGTTTCTCTCTCCAATAAAGCAGATGCCCATGCTCTGGAAAGACATTAACAGTTTACTTAGCATACAAATGTGAACAAAAAAACAAACTATTTATGCTCTGCTGATGTAATATAAACATGAATTAAATGTATTTATGTATGTGTGGCTACCTCTTTCCTCTTCAGCACATGGTGAAACCCTGCCTCAGCAGCAATCTTTTTTACAAACTCTTTGGTGAGTCCGGCCAGCGGGAACATGGTTTGTCGCAAGGCGTCCTGGGAGATCTGACTGAGGAAGAAGGTTTGGTCTTTGAGGAGATCTGCTCCTTTGTACAACCTCACAGCTGAGCAGGTGGAAGATGGAGAAAAAAAAATTACGACTATTAACACAGTTAGAGTGTGTGACCTTAGAGCCAGTGCTGTGGTACAGTCTCCCTGCCAGTTAAAACAAAGAAAGAGCAGACTCAAACAGAGAAGAGAGAACTCTTACGATTTCTTATCTCAAATCGGTCTCTGAAGAGAGTGGTAGGCGGGGCAATGTGCGTCTGTTGGAAAACCTCTTCATCTTCCTGTGACGTCCTGGCATAGTGGCCTGTTGCCACGGCATCAGCACCTTAGCCAACAACAGCACAACACTAATGAAAAGTCTAATTTAACTAGACTTTTGTATTTTGCTCAACACCGAGAAATAGGACTGGGCGATAGATAATATTGCAATATTTTGTGGCTATATCGCGATACACGATATACGTTGCGATTTACACATTTTAAATAACATACCGCACATTCTTAAACATCTACAGCAGTAAAATGCAACATACACATTAATTCAGCAGTAATATTAATCCAAAAACATCCTATATTATATTAAAAAGGACCATTTTACTGCACAATGACTGAGTAAATTGTGTGTTTTAGAATGCAGAACTTGTACTTGTACCTATATCAAATATATTCAACATTTCGCCCAGCTTTACAGAAGAAACTGATTATTTAAAGCAACATCAAACTCTATCAGTATAAACGTTATCGTCTCGTTCTATATCTCACTTTAAAATATATCAATATATCACCCAGCACTACTAAGAAATCTATTTAATTCAGTCCTCATATCTCAAACTACAACCCCACTGCTTTCCAGTTCAGAAAATAAAAAAGTTAAACAAATGTTTAGCAGCTTAGAATGAGTGTACATGTCAGATTATGACCACATTATGGTTGCATACCCAGAGAGTTGACAGCATACTTGTGGAAATGGTTGAATTTGATGTGCTTGTTGCATAGTATATCTGGGTTTGGTGTCCTGCCCTTCTCATATTCCTTCAACAGGTTACTGAAAGTGACAAAAGACAGTCGTGACATTCACAGTAAAGAGTTATAAAATTAAAAAGTGTTTTAACTGTATGCACAGCAGCCACACATACCTGAATACTTCATGCCAGTACTCTTTGACATAAGACACCTGCCGGAAGGGGATGTCCAGGGTCTGACACACTCTGTAGGCGTCCTCACAGTCTTTCTCCGTAGTGCACACCCCTTTTTCATCCAGTGAGTCCCAGTTCTTCATAAAAATCCCTGTGACACTATAGCCTTTAAATGAAATAAGAATGTGTGATTATGTTTGCACATTTGGCAACAGAAGCACGTGTTGGATGTAAAAATTCAGAAACAAATAAACCAATAGCTGTGTTTCTGATCTTTTTCTTATTCAGGTAGAGCCGATAGTAACAACTTTGCTAACTATTTAATATTATCAAGTCAGTCCAGGTGTGTTTCTGTTTGTCAGACACAGGACAGGATTTTCTCACCTCTTCTCTTCAGTAACAACGCCGCGACAGAGCTGTCAACGCCGCCAGACATGGCGCACACCACCTGTCTAATGACACCCATGTTTTAAAATGACAGTCCTTTCTATTAATACTATTTTTGTAGAGTAATTAAGAAAAGAGAGCTAACCGCTCTCCGTTGCCAGTTACATGGGAAGCCATATTTGAGGTCCATTTAATAATAACTTCCGACTAGAAACTAGTTTCAAACTGGAACTAGTAAGCTGGGGGGGGGGAGGCGCCAAAATTGTAACACTGAATCACGGACCACACCACGGAGCTGTCACTGTTTAAAGTAACTGAAAAATCCAAACAAATAGTAAGGTCAGTGGGAAATAAGCCGAATACGCTAAACATAGCTTTTTGGTTAACTTAATGACGCTTTTGGTTTTGCAATTTAACGTACCGGTACATTGGCTGGTTTTAATACATCTGTAAGGGTGCGTTGACTGCCTGGTATGGTCAACTAAAACCTTTAAATTATTATTTTTTATTAATCAAGGAATGCATGGTATTCCTGATAATTAAATTGTGTGTCTCTGACACAGATGGGAGAGGTGTCTGCAGAAGCCCTCACCCTGGATCTGCTGAGAGAAGCCAGCGAGACAGTGAGGAGCAGCCCGCTGGGTGTCATCAACACTCCCATGATCCCCTGGTGCCAGACAACCCTGCCTCTCAACATCCACTGCAACATCCACATCAAGCTGGAGAACATGCAGAGAACTGGTTAGAGGAAACCACCTTGATTCATCTCACACAACCACATCATGCAATTTTGTAGCCATGGCTCATAATTTTACTACTAATTACACATTTTATTGACAGGGTCGTTTAAGATCAGAGGAGTGGCCAATCAGTTTGCCAGGAGGAAGAAGGATGGTCATTTTGTGACCCTGTCTGCTGGGAACTATGGGAAGTCTTTGGCGTATGCCTCAAAACACTATGGGTTAAAGAGCAAGGTGGTGATGCCAGACACTGCCCCAGTGTCCAGATCCATCCTCATACAGGTTAGAGGTGATCTGCTGATTGACTGAAAAGCAGGCCATACAGTGAACTCATAAAACACATCCAAAAAAGGATGTGACATTATGTTAGCTTGTGCTGTGAATTCCTGTTATTGTTGTAATTTGTTTCTCTGTATCAGTCTCAAAAAGACAAACTCTGTAGTGGTTGCATTCAGTGATGAAAAGTGTTTCTGGTCTTCAGAGTTTGGGGGTAGAGGTAGAGCGAGTTCCCAACTCTAGTCTGATGAATGTGGTGAACCGCTGCGTTCAGGAGGACAACATGACCCTCCTGCACCCCTATGATGACCTGGATCTGATAGCAGGACACGGCAGGTACACTCAGGGCTGACGGTGGATTTGGGATTATTTAAAATTCCACCTTTTAGAAAAAGGGTGATGCTTAAACCAGTTGTTTAATCTGACAGTCTAAACCTGCGTGTGTCCAGTCTAGGTATGGAGGTGCTAGCATTGGTGCCCGAGCCTGATGTGGTGGTGGTGTGCTGTGGTGGAGGGGGGTTGCTGGCCGGTGTAGCTTCTGCCATCAAACTGTCAGGCTGTGATAAAACCAGAATCTACGGTGTGGAACCAGAAGGAGGTAAAGCTAATACACAGAAGGGTAAAAAGCGTCACATCCAGTGTTAGTGTAACATGAAGAACTTTGTGATTGTGTTTGCTTAAACTCAGCCTGCACCATGTACAAAAGTTTCATTGAGAAGAAGCCGGTGAGCATGGACACCAAGAGCATCGCCTCAGGACTTGCACCACCATTTGCAGGTACCACACGTCAATCTTTCTTTCCACTGCTTTAAATTAAATTCTTGTTAGTTTGTTCTTAACCTACTGTACTAAGGAAGTTATAGATTTTATAGAATTACTGAAAGTCACTGAAATGTTTTACTCTTATAATTTGCATCTCTCTCTCTTTTTTTTTTGCATCCCAGGCACACTGCCCTTCGAGTTGTGTCAGCGTTACGTGGAGGGGATCGTCCTTATAAATGATGCAGAGATCAAGGCAGCGGTGTCCACCCTCTACAAGTCTGGACTCGTGGTGGAGCCGTCAGGAACCGCTGCGTTCGCTGCCATCATTAACGACAAGATACCCGAGCTGGAGGGGAAGAATGTGGTGTGCATCCTCAGCGGAGGGAACATTGGGAAAGACGAGCTCGCTAACTTTCTAGACTGACAAATGCACACAACTATAATGTGACTAGGTCTTACAAGAAGATGAACAACTTTTCAGGACAAGGCCTAACTGTTTTAGATAACCGGTACATTTAATATTCTTGTCTTCTAACAGGGTTTGACTTAAATTTGGCCCGACTCTGAATCTTTCATGTCAGTGTTGTGGATACCAGATGCATTTTAAAAACAGATCCTCTTGAGATCAAGCTAATACTTGGCCCAGAGCATTTTGGATTCATTATTCACCAACTTACTTTACATCACTGTCCACCCGCTGTCAAAAAGCCTAGAGCCAATCTTCAACTTTCATACAAAAATAATTGTCATCAAAAAGGTTCAAAGAAATACTGAGAGGCATGAGAAGTTACTGTAGGAACTCGGGATGATGCTAAATAAAGTGTTATGACTTCTCTAACTGCCCCTCAAACGTTTTCCACATCTGTCAGAGTCTAACAATTATATAGAAAATGTAAGCAGGAGAAAGGACAGGTAAGGACCATGTGGAAAATGTGATAGATTTTATATTTCAGCTGGGAGCATGAGCTTGGCGTACATGAAATGTGACTTTCACTTTAGCTAACGTTGATTTGAGTTTGCATGGAGTGCACAAAAGACAATGTTTTGGAACCTTTCATGAGGTGGAATAATGTCTACAGCGGAAAATCCACATCTCATATGAAAAAGGCAACAATTTTCTTTTTTCTTAAAGTCCTATTCTGGTCCATTTTCCTGTTGTAGCTACATGACATCCTTGGTGGCCATCCTGCATACAACTGCATCCAGCAGACTTCCACATTTCTCCTCCTGGGGAGTGACTTTGTAAAGCTGAAAAGAAGGTAGAAGAGGGGTAAGATTAGAAGAAAAGCTACTGAAATCCATTTAATAACTATGGCTATAGGGGTTCTTTTAAACAAGCACAAGTCACATTTTGGAATGAAGCTGACAACCCACAACTTTCAACCTGTATGGAATGAGTCATAAATTTAAAGCAGAGACGGAGAACCTTTTTGATTTTTGCATGATCTGACAGCGAGGAAACATCTTCCACTGGAACCTGCCGCCCGTTCACCCTGGCTGTGACGTCTGACAGAATCTGGGACTCATCTTTGCTATGAACCAGGACCACCATGACAGAGTCGTCGCCATCACAGATCCCAAACCTTTTAAATGCCTCTGAGATCTGTATTACGGAAGGTATACAGATATGATTTATTAGTATGTTCATGCATGGCTGTTTGGCTGATGCTACTATCTAAAGCAAGTTAGATACTTAGAATGAGTGCACCCAAAGAATACATTTCCATTTCTAGCTAATTGTGCAGTCACCATTAGTTAAGACAGCAAAGGTTGAAAGTAACAAATATTCCTGCACCCCTAAAATGATAAAGACAAGAACGTTATGGTTACTTACATTATTAGTAGGTGACAGGTTGAAGATTATTTCTGAGTTTAAACTTCTTGTCTTCATTTTCCCAATTTTCTGTAAGTGAACAGCCTTGTTGGCAGCAACCAGTACTTGGAAAGGGTTCACCAGCTGTAAATGACAAATGCTGAATGAAGTTCCACAGTTTCTGTCATACTTCCTTCGTCCCATTTGATATGAAATACACGAGTAGTTGTAGAGACAGGCCTACGAGCCATTTGTTGTGTGTGGAAGTTGATACTTTTGCTAACTTATATATAAAAAAAGAATGGCTCACCATCGTTGGGTTGATCAAGGCACCATTTATTTTACCCTCCACTGCGCACTGTCTCAACTCTGCGGCATTTTTCACCTCCTTGAAAAGCATCTGAGTGACTCTGTGGTCAGAGAAAAGCTCTAGTTCCTGTGTTGAATGCATGCTGGACATTAGTTTAACGAATTACGAAGAAGCGGTTCACGTGAACGTCTGTACACCAGGGGAACCATAACACGGTGACACCGCTTGGAAGGAACGTTCCTCTTTAGGAAAAGGGCGCCACAAAAGAAAGAAAGCGACATCTTAAATCAGAAATGTTTAAAATTCATCATATGTATAATGGTAGTGATTACTATTTATAGACGTATGGTGCTGAACTATTTAGCACAACCCAGGAACCAATAGTTATTCAAGATTTTTCGTACCGAGCATGTTTCCGTAGCGGACCGCCAGCTGTCAACAATCAAAACTCTTCCGTTTATCAAAACTGCGTGGAGTTCAACCAGTTTCCTCGGAATTGCGTTTGTAAACAGTGGTTTTAATTCGGTAATATAGTCAGTATGTGGTTTATACAACATTCCTACAGCTAACTTTGCACTGCATTCACTTTTACATCGGATTTCGTCATCAAACATGGAGAAATTTGAAGGCTACATCTTCACTGCTCTCTGCAGCACCAACTTTTTGATATCCTGCCTGCTGTTCTCCAGAGTCACTCGAGAGCAAAGGGAGCCCTACATGGACGAGATTTTTCATATCCCACAAGCTCAGAAATACTGCCATGGGAAATTCAACGAGGTAAAGTGGCTTTCTGAAAGTCGCGGTCGCCATGAAGCGAGTCTGTCATTGTTGTTTAGCGGATTAAGGTTAGCTAACAGCGGAGCTGTTGTCATCAGAAATGATGTGGCAGCTTGTGGAGCTTTTAATCTCTATGTGGGACATATAGAATGGGGGTTTATGTGCCTAAAAGTATTGCTGTCGCATGTAGGATAGCCTTATCAAGCACAATTTAGACTGTAGGAAAGTGCAGATTTTATCTTTTTTCCCTCAAAATTTTAATAAATTTACCCCAAACCATATAAACCTTTTATTACTGATCACGTTATTTCAAGGCAATAGTTTTTTTCTAGTCTTTATTTAGCTAGACTGGCCAAATAAAAGGCACATTCTCACTTTTGCATAAGGTTTTTAAAAACACACGTACAAAATATACAACCTTCATATAAATGTAAATGTTTAAAATCTACAAAAAGCAAGGTACTATTTGGAAATGTGTTATGTAAAACATATGAAATTTGCAGTAAAAGGTTAAAACATTAAGAAATATGTTCCTTTAACAGGTGTTAGTTTTTCATTACAAAATCTAAAAGGTATCCGTTTTAGTATTTGACTAAGTATTTTGCATTAAGTTAGCCCGCTAACGAGATACATTTTTAAAAAAGATCAAAATTGAAGCAGCAGAGTCCAAGATATTCTTTGAACTTATCTTCATGTAAAATTGCTGGAGTGCCTCTGTTTAACATGGTTTTGATCCTTGTGCAGTGGGACCCAATGATCACCACTCTCCCAGGCCTTTACCTTGTCTCTGTGGGAGTCATCAAGCCCGTGGTGTGGCTCGCTGGCCTGACAGGCGCGGTGGTGTGTTCCACAGCCATGCTGCGCTTCATCAACCTGCTGTTCAATTGCGGAAACCTTTACCTGCTCTATCTGCTCATCTGCAAACTGCACTTCAGGGAGAAGGTATTTCTACATGACGAAGATAATCATGCTTGTTTGTCATCGTCTTGTATTCTGATGTGGCGTTTCCTCTCTTCCAGACACGAACAACCTCACGCCGAGTCCTCTCTGCGCTGTCTCTGTCCACCTTCCCCGTGCTCTACTTCTTCAACTTCCTCTACTACACCGACGCCGGATCTACTTTCTTCGTCCTCTTCACCTACCTCATGACTCTCTACGGCTGCCACAAGGCCTCCGCGTTCCTCGGCGTCTGCTCCGTGCTCTTCCGCCAGACCAACATCATCTGGGTGGCCTTCTGCGCAGGCACATTGGTGGCCGCCAAAATGGACGAGGCCTGGAGGGTGGAGCATACGAAAAAGAGGGATGAGAAGTCTCCTCCCTCCCAGGTCCCTCTGTCATTCAGTGGAGCTAAGAAAGTGGTGCATTTCACGCTGGAGTTTCTCACCTCTCCCAGTCATGTGAAGGCGGTGCTGCTGGTGGCCTGGCCTTATGCAGTGGTCGCCGTGGGTTTCCTGGTGTTTGTGGTGCTCAATGATGGGATAGTGGTGGGTGACAGGACGAGCCACGAGGCCTGCCTTAACATCCCCCAACTCTTCTATTTCTTCTCCTTTGCCCTCTTCTTCTCCCTCCCCGTCTCACTTTGCTACCACCGTGTCCTTCGCTTCCTCCAGGCTCTGAAAAAACAGCCTTTGTTCTTCCTCTTCGTCACGGGCGTGTCCTTGCTCCTGGTTTGGAAGTTCACCTTTGTCCACAAGTACCTCCTGGCAGATAACCGCCATTTCCCCTTCTACGTGTGGAAGAGGCTTTTCCAGAGGCACGAGTTGGTGCGCTTCCTCCTCGTCCCTGCATACGTGTTTGCAGGCTGGAATTTTTTGGACTCTTTCAAGTCGCGCTCACTGTTCTGGAGTCTGGCGTTCCTGGCATGCCTCCTGGCTGCTACAGTACCCCAGAAGCTGCTGGAGTTCAGGTACTTCATCGTGCCCTACCTGATGTACCGCCTGCACATGCCTCTCCCCTCTCTTCCCAGACTCATTGTGGAGTTTCTTCTGTACGCGGTGGTCAACGCTGCCACACTTTACATCTTCATCAGTAAGACCTTCCAGTGGCCGGACAGCACAGCCACACAGAGGTTCATGTGGTGAACAAAAAAGAGAAGGGAAGCATCCGGTAACGGGAGTTCCTGAACTCCAGCAGGATGTCAGTCTCAGAGAACCACAGTTCATGTGACATGTCAGAAATCAAAGAAAAGTCCTCTGTTGCACTGTACAAAAATGACTCATTTTCACTATTTTTGTACAGTGTAACCACATGATGTTTGGGATAGTGTATAGGGATTGCCATAGCTTACACTAAGAATCAATATTGCTAATTTGAACATGGAAGGTGGCAGAGAAAATTTAAAAACCTTTTCAGTCTTATTGTTTAATGTTGAAGGCTTTTAAGGTCGAGTTATTCTGCTTTCACTGACAAAGGCTACAAGCCCTGCAGTAGGCCTGTAGATTTACTGCAAATCCGTTCTCAATTACTCAATTACTTATTGAAAATGACCAAGAGTATTCAAAGAGAATTTCATTTTGTAAAAATCATTACAGTTCTTGGCTTAGACAATACAGTGGTGGTGTCAGTGTTGTAAAACCATTGGTACTGAATTATGATGGTCTGTTCTGATGAGATTATATTCACTGTATATAAAACTTGTTTCTACTGTACATAAACAATTTTTCTCTGGGGCGGAAACAACGGTCATGTAAGTTTGACCTTTCCTGCAGGTTTCTGGGAAGTGGCGAGGCGTTTCTCATGGCAAACTGTTATGTACTAAAAGTACTGTATGCACTTCCTGCGAATCAATCCTCGGTGAAATAACTGTTGACTTGAGCTGTAAAAATGATTTTAAAAGACCAAAAATGACAGCCATATTGTAAACTTCAGAATTTGTATAATATGGGATGTTTTTGTAATGACTGAGATTTTTGCTTTTTGATGGCCACATTTTGACCCA